TTACATATAAACACATATAAATATACAAATATATACATATATTTGCATATATGCATATACATATATATAATATGCTTACGCAAGCTTATTTCTATGTACGCAAATGCCTGCATGTGTATCTTATGTTTACGTATACACACATTATGTCACACACGCACACACCTCTATAATTTATACAACACAAATACAACTTGTATGATTGTATACACCCACCGCCAAATGGTACCAAATCCAGCACCTTACGGAACCCTCCCCCTCCCCTCCCTGAGTTTTTTTTGGGGGGGCCGGGACGAGGTAGAGCGTCCTTTTTCGGCCCCTGGGAGGGCCATTTTTTGCCACCACTCACGAGGATCACCCCCTCTTTTGATCGATAGCCTCCAAGATGGCCCCAAGAGGGCCTCCAGGGTTCCCAAGAGATCTCCAAGAGGGCCCAAAGAGCGCCCCAAGAAGCCCCAAGAGGCCTCCAAGAGGCACCCGAGAGGCCCCCAAGAGGCCCCTGAACGGCCTCAGAGAGCCCAAAATGACCTCCAAGCTGGCTCAGATAGCCCAAGCTGGCTCAAGATGGCTCCCAAGATGCTCCAAACGGCTCCAAGACCGCTCCAAGACGGCTCGAGATGGCCACGGAGCCTCCCAAGCCTTCCTCGCTGTTTGACTATGCGTGCCTCTTCCTCTCTCCCCCCGTCAGTTCTCATGGGCATCGTTTCTGGATGGGCTGGAGGAGATACTTTTTGATTCGCGGCCCGCAAGGAGAAGTCCAGAGGGCGGTATGACCGAGGCTGGGGCACAGCGACAGGTAATTGGCGCGACACCGCGCAGAGTGCACCATAACTAGAAAGAGGCGGCCACGGGTCAACCCGCGGGTGGGGGCGAACCGAACGCGGACCCCAAAAGCCGCTGAGCGTGTGCCAGCAGAAGAGGGCAACCGCGATGATGGCAAGCCGAAGCCCTGCCGAAAGCGCTGGTGGAGATACGTGAAGCGTCAAGAATTAGAATTCCCGAGAGGCGAGAGGGGGAGGAGAAGGAGAAATACAAGGACCGAAGTAGAGACCTCCCAAATGTGGTCCGAGTAGATAGGGTCGGAGGTAGATAGGGTCGGAGGATCGCGCCACATCGCCGATACATCGCCGATGCATCGGCGATGCATCGGCGACGTCGGCGATACATCTGCGACGACGGCATGGAAATAATCGGGCTCCGTATCGCGCCGCATCGCCAATGCATCGGCGATGCGGCGTGGTCCTCCGACCTCGTCTGCTCGGACCCCATCTGGGAAGCCTCTACTTCGGCCCTCGTACTCCTCCCTCTCCTCCTCCATCCCGGAAATTTTCCTCACTGGCCATGCGTCCTTCGCACAGGCCCCGCCTTCTCAGATGGCCGCCCCCCTCGAGCCATACCCTTAGGTCGGGCGTGTCCTCCTACAGTTGGATTTTTTGGACGAGAAATGAAACATTGACAAACAAATGCTCAACCGTAAATAGAAATAGTAGAAAAGTCACGCCCATACGATTATGCTGACTATGTTTGAATGTTCCTCCTGTAGAGTGAAGTGCCCGACTGTGTCATACCCCCCTTGTGCTGGCGCCGAAACCTCCGAGGCCCTGGGACCGTCACAACGCACGCCGCAACCGGGCCCCCCCGGGGCCGCCACGGAACGGAGCGGGGAGGAGGGCCAGCCGCACAGCTCGGGAAGGGGTCGACCCAGGGATCCGACGCTCCAACTGGAGGAGGTGGAGGAGGAGGAGGAGGAGGAGGAACAGGAGGAGGAGGAGGAGGAGGAGGAGGACGAGGTGGAGGAGGAGGATGAGGAGTCGGACCTTGACTCCAAGCGACGAGGATCGCGAGGATCGAGGGCGAGGAGTCGAGGATCGAGGATTTTGCAGGTTTGCGGCGTCTGGGCGTCTGGGCCATCCAAAAACGGCCGAGGACGAAAAACTGGCCCTGCGGAAGTGCTGGCGGCGCGCACAGGGGGGTAGGGGGAGGGGGGAAGGCTTCTCAGAAGGAGGCTGCTTCTTAGAAGGCGGCGGCCCTACCTCTATAGACAAGACCCGCGCCTTCCAAGAAACAGGATGCTTTTAAGAAGCCCCCCCCTCCCCCCTCCCCCGAACGTTTTCCTATTCGGCGTGTCGACAATTGGCGGAAGGGGGGGAGGGGGGGGGTCTAGCTTCGGACCTCTGCTTAGTGCGACTGCTTGCAGCAGTACGCCCCATGGGGGAGACTCCACCTGCCTGAAACAGGCGCCGAGAGCAGCCAAGATCCGCCCCGTGGAGGGGGAGGCGGGGGGGGGAGAGGATGCGAGTGCCCGCGCCGATCGGAAAAAACAATGAACAACAGAACGGCGACCTGCGCGTGGCCGAGTCCCAATCTCCGGGGCCCGCGCATCGAACAAAAATTGGAGCGGGGAGGGGGCCGGGGCCCGGAGGCTCGAGGGCGTCGGGTCGTCGGGTGCACGGAGTTGCGGCGGAGCCCTCGCCGGTGTCTTTGGGCAAGCTTGGACGCTGTCAGCAAGTCCCCCGGAACAAACAGAAAAGAAAAAGGCGACGTCCATCCCTGAGGCCTGACGTCGCGGAAGAGAGAGAGAGAGAGAGACGTTGCAACGAACTCCGACCAGAGCCCTGGATCCCATCTTCCTGCGGCCTTTCTAGATTTGGGTCGATCTGTGAGGGTCCCGGGACCCGAAGCAAGGCCGAGTCGGCCGTTGTGGAAAAGATGCGACGCCAAGATCTCAGGATCTGGCCGCCGTTTTCGGGCCCCAGGGCCGTCGTAGAACGACTCGGGGAGGAGAGCCAGCCACATGGCCGGGGAAGGTGTCAAGAGGACTGGGACCCACAGACTCGAAGATGTCGATCCGTCGGATATATGAATAGGCGGCTCCCTGGCCGAGCCCTCGGCCTCCCCACCCACCACTCCCCCCCCTCGACGTTTCTAGACGATGTTGGTGGACAAGTCAATGAAAAACAAACACCAACAACAGCA